GCTCTGTCACCCTCAGAGGGAAGAAGTTCCTCCTCATGTTCAGACGGAACTTCCTGTGCCTCAGTTTGTGCCCATTGCCCCTTGTCCTGTCGCTGGGCACCACTGAAAAGAGCTTGGCCCCATCCTCCTGACACCCACCCTTCAGATATTTGTAGGCATTTATAAGGTCCCCTCGCAGCCTTCTCTTCTTCAGGCTGAACAAGCCCAGTTCCCTCAACCTCTCCTCGTAGTGGAGATGTTCCAGTCCCCTCACCATCCTTGTAGCCCTCCGCTGGACTCTCTCCAGTAGCTCTTCATCCTTCTTGAACTGGGGAGCCCAGAACTGGACACAGTACTCCAGATGAGGCCTCACCAGGGTAGTGTAGAGGGGAAGGAGAACCTCCCTTGTCCTGCTGGCCACACTCTTCTTGATGCACCCCAGGATCCCATTGGCCTTCTTGGCAGCCAGGGCACACTGCTGGCTCATGGTTAACCTGTCGTCCACCAGGACACCCAGGTCCCTCTCTGCTCTCCAGCAGGTCCACCCCAAGCCTGTACTGGTGCATGAGGTTGTTCCTCCCCAGGTGCAGGACCCTGCACTTGCCCTTGTTGAACCTCATCAGGTTCCTCTCTGCCCAGCTCTCCAGCCTATCCAGGTCACGCTGAATGGCAGCACAGCCTTCTGGTGTATCTACCACACCTCCCAGTTTGGTGTCGTCAGCAAACTTGCTGAGGGTACATTCTAACTCTTCATCCAGGTCGTTGATGAAGAAGTTAAACAAGACTGGGCCCAGTACTGACCCCTGGGGGACACCACTTGTTACCAGCCTCCAACTAGACTCAGCGCCGCTGATGACAACCCTCTGAGTTCTGCCATTCAGCCAGTTCTCTATCCACTTCACCGACCACTCATCCAGCCCACACTTCCTCAGCTTCCCCAGGAGGATATCATGGGAGACTGTGTCGAAAGCCTTGCTGAAGTCAAGGTAGATAACATCCACAGCTCTCCCTTCGTCTACCCAGCCAGTCATGTCATCGTAGAAAGCTATCAGATTGGTCAGGCATGATTTCCCCTTGGAAATCCCCCACTCGTTACTTTGTCTTTTGCGTCTAGCTTGTAATATTCAGGCTCTCACTTAAACACACCTTTAGATTAAATTTGAGTGACAAAATACCCATTGCAAAACAAATTATTGCTATTATTAAAAGCTTCAGAACAAAAGATTTGTGGCTGACAGTATACATTCACAAATAATGACTTTGCATCTGTTCTTTATTTGGTGATGTGAAATTTATTCTTGATCCAGTATTCCCACTAATAACTAAAAGAATGACTAGAGAAAAAAATTATTAACACTTTAAAAATTAGTCATATAATTGTGAGCACTCTGAAAGATGAAATCAACTTACTGATCACTTGAAAACAAGAGAAACAAAGCAGCAAAAACTGGGAGAAGTTGAGCTCGTGCAGCATTTAAAAGAGCAATTGCATTTTACACCTTTTGAAGAGACACATGTCTAAGCTGATCAGAGAACAAGTAAGCTTAATGACACCAGCAACAGACAAACAGCAATTCAGCGACATGTTTATATGGAAGGTAGCATAACAACTAGGCCTAAGCAAGGTAACAGACCACCTAAGTGGTCCTGTTCTTCACTGATAAATTAGAATATTTAAAAAAGGTACACTTGCACAACTTTTCTTGGTGTGTTACAGAAATGGCTTATTTGCACCAAAGTCATCACTGAAAAAAAGAAAACAATGCTTTAATAGTACATCAAAAGCAGCACACAAAAAAACCATACAAGAGCTACCTACATCTTACTGACATTGACAATTGCTTCCAGTTCAAGGCTGGCAAAGACAGCACGAAGAGACTAGAATTAATAATTGATACAAAACAATAAATACCAAACCCACACGGAACCACTGACAACACCACCACAGCTTCACATAGCTAGCACAAACGACTGATACAATGTTGGCTTCTTTCAGCTTAAGGCCAGAATCCCACAGACATCAGCACAAACTTAGCATTACACAAGCAGGTAGTCCTCCATTTACACGCATAATTCCAGAAACAAAACTGACATTAAAAAGAAACTAAGGCTTACTTGTCAAGGAAGTCCTTGTCCACAACTGCACAGATATCAAGCAGAGGATTCCCCATTCCAAACAGGACATTTTCACTGTAAGAGAATCAATTATTTCCAGTTAGCTTAGTGTTAGTTCACTGTTCCTAGTATAATATGTTGAAGACATTTTTTTACTAGAGAGAAAAGTTTCTCTTGAATACAGCTAAAGAACGAAATATACACATTTCGCCCAACACAGTAGTCACATGCAGACCTGTCTTTTAAACAGAGTCATATCTGAGTATCATCCCAAAATAAACTCCATGAGCAATATACAGACTGCAAGCAGTGAAGAATATATCCAGGTCCATATTCTGTTGTCATTCACTCAGACAAAGAATTAGAGCTGCATACCACATGCTGTAGTTCTGAAGGGTTGCATTCAGGTTGTAATACCAGATTTTACACAGGGGGAGCATCAGACCAGGTTATAGGAATTCCACTGAACGGACTTAGTTGCCGAGTTTACTCTGCTACTGACCAGCAATTAATAACTTAAGTCTGTTTAAATAAACCCAAATTAAGAGACTATGGATTCTGCATTGTCAGCCACCTTAAACAGCGTAGCCATCTACTGATAAGAACGTAGGTACCTTTTAATTAATTTGAAAGTCATTACTATGACTTCTGCCACATAAAAAGAGGACAACAGAGATACTGTAAACAGCTGAAAGAGCTAGCTTTAACTTTTTTTTTTTTTACATTCATTCAGAAACCATGTGTTACATATTTCTGAATAGCATGTACTTGGTAATAATGCAGTAATACCAAAGGATTAGATATGTGGCCTAGTGTCAAGCAGGAGTGAATGCAGCTGTTCGCCAAGGCTGCCTAAAACCCCTTCCCTAAGCTAGCACCTGCTGCCTCCAGCACCAGCGGCCCTTGCTCCTGCCACTGAAGGTAGCTTCAGTATGACGGTGAAACATGCCTCCCTCTTGATGCCTCTCTATCATGCATTTGCAGAGAAAGCATACTGCCCATGTCCCCATCCCCAAGCAGGTACTACTGTAACACTGCATTCTGACCCAAAGTGTATCTGCAGTTTATCCAAAGCTGCATAACAGCGTCAGCAGAATCTCAAAGAAAATGAAGGAGTTTTCAGTTGTTCTGGCCCATTTAGAGCAAGAGAAACGTTTCAGAGACTCAACATCTGGCTACTAAATGATAGATTTCATTAACTTCTGCAGGATAAGAAAAAAAAATACAAAACAAGCAGAAAGGGCATGATACAGAACAATCTCATGAACTGTGCCCGACAGAGGCTGGAAACTCATCCACTGACTGCCACTCACAACTGCTATGAAAAGCCCTTAGCTGACAAGTATTTGTCAAATTTGAAGCTACTTGCCAGAAGCACACAGGCAAACTTCTTCCTCTTTAGGATGCCACATTAGCTTCCATTAAACACTAAATTCTGAAGTCTGGAAATGGAGTGGAAAACATGATTAATATCCTTCATATTGAGACACAGCAAACCATGCTTTAAGTATCCTGGTTTTGGTTGCAGCTTTAAAGACAGGCCTTTATAGCCTATTTCAGTGTGTGAAATGTGGAAGATGCTGCTTCATGAAGAGAGCCAAAAATCCAGCTCACTCCTAACTGACATAGGTAACAACTACTGAGTAAAAACCTGTAAGACTCACTAAATACTTCTGACAGTGTGAAAAGAAGCATTGATTCTTCTAACTAGCATAACCATAAGTTATACATAACTAGAAGAAAAGAAGAGGGAGACAGACAGATAAGACAACATAAGGATAAAGTGGATTGCAGATGGAGCCTCAAGACAGGACATACTCTCCATTTTAAAAACTAATTATTACATCAGTAGTATTGCAGGACAACGAATGAATGAGTCAGAATTCTGAAAGTGCTGAACACAGATTTGTCCCAAACTGTATGCTCCTGTATTTGATGTTTAGCTGATTCTCACAATCTGTGAAATTCTGCACATCAATAATTTTATGCCTACACTTATAAAAAAAATGTGTATCGCGGATAACTTCCATATAAGACAAGCATCGGCACTTAAGTGTATGGAAAACAGTAGCCAAGTACTTCAAAAACTCCCTGAAATAGAGCTGACATGTAGAGGTCACTACGTATGAAGAAGTTACCTTGTTTGATGGAAAAGCAAAACAGAAGCTACCAAACACTTAACAGAGCTGCGGGCTGCAGAAATCGCTGGTCAATACACCTGAAGCAGCACGAGAGCAATTTGTACTGGTTCAGCATCCACAGAAGCTCTATCAAGCCAATAACGCACACACAAACTCCTAAAATGCCATCAGCAGCAGGTACTAGCACTTTTAGTGCCATTTAATCCAGGCAGCTCGTTACATCACATACAAGTCCTGTTCCATTCCCAAGCCTTCCTTTCCCACATTATTTTGTAATCATCCCTGTCCCAAGTGTTCCAGAGGCTGTGTAGTAGAGTGCCATCTGAGATGCAAAATTTTAAAAGCCAAGGTAGCTATGACCAGAGTAGTAAGTGTATGTTCAGAAACATTCACCTGAAATTTCTGGGCAAACTCTCCCCAACTTCAGCATAGTTGTTTCTCACAACCAAACATAGCACAGCAGAACATTACAACTTTTCAAACACATCAAAACTTTGAGCACATTGATTGCTATGAAGATGACAGGCACACAGGCTGTAATGCTCAACTTATTTTTGTAAATAATCTAAACATATGAGTTAATATATACTAATAGCTAGCCTTGTGCTTTCATTTACATGTATTTCTACATTTTTGGTTGTTTCAGCTAGATGTTTGAGTTACCTAAGTCCCAAGGTACTTGAACTTCCATGCTTAAAACTCGGTATTAACATTCCATTGGCCAAAAGGAGAAAAATCCATATACACCGTTTGTATGAGCACCCGTAGTTGCATCATTCCTTAACTGACACTGTGTTTGGTAAAAATACCTTTTTTTGGCCAAAACAGAAAGAATCTAAACAATCTCTTTATAGATTGCAAATTTTAAAAATTCAACAAGTTTAAGCAGGCATTAAGATCACGCTGTGATCGGCGTTTTCCAATACAAGCTTTGTGAACCACGATCTAGAAAGTCCGCTGTTTCCACTGTTACAGACTTGGCTGTGTAAACCCTTAGCATGTTCAACGTGATTAACCCAACGCTGGCTACATTTCAGTGCACTGCAAATCACCCTTCCCTTCTTGAGGGGCTGCAAAGTATCTGCACTATTACACTATTGTTCTTTTTTGTGGTACCACCAGTTACTCGGCTACAGTTTGCTCCTCTGTAAAACTAATTAAAAAAAGAAAAAACCACACATATACTCTGTAAAGCCTCATACTGTAAAAGCATGAAATTAAACATATTATTTAGGATCCTAGAGAATGCTAAATTTACAAGTCTCTGAAGCCAGAAATTGAGATATTGAACTGTTTAACTTGCTGAGAATGTAACACTTTCAGCAGTACACATGCACCTTAATGGGCTATGTTTGCTGCTCAGTCACACTGGACACCTGCATTGGTTACGATTTCATGGACTATTTCCAACCAACTAGATGTAAAACAGTGAGGAAGCAGGAGCTTCCTGAAATGTGAGATTTCACAATACGTAGGTTATTCACTCCCTGCAACAGACACAGAAAAAACACATAGGTATTCCACAGCCTCCCTGACTCTCTCTAGTCCCTTCTCTTGCACGGGAGTACGGGTATCTAATCAGCTGAGAAGGGTGTTCTTGCTTAACCAACCTTTTGCAAAAGAACATTTGGCTCAGCTCTTCAAGAAACAAGTGACAACTCATCCACCCGCACAAATTAATGGTGAATAATTGACCATACTCAGTATGTATGGATATGTGTGCATACACATACATACATAGTACACACGAACCGTATGTATATTTTCTAAATTCTAAACTAAGAATAACACGTGCATACAAATCTAAAATTTGTTTGGACATAGAAATAGGCTGTCCACCTAGCAGGAAAATTACAGCAGCAACAGCAACTTGCTTCACAGAAAGCTTGGATGTACACCACATTTGCGTTCTAAACTCTTGACAACAAGCAACATATTCTACGAGTTTGACATTTCACTTTTGACTAGGTGAAGAGTTAGTCGTGATTATAAGTTCAAGCAACGTAATTCATTAAACACAAATACAGCTTTACCCTCTAACTATGGCATTTTGTTCAGAGATTGATTTTTTTTTTGTTCAGAGATCACCGATTTTTCACAAATCGCCAATGTTTACATATTAGTCTTATCACAAGTCGCAACAGTAATAAGCTGAAACCAAACTGGATGAAAGCAAAACAAAAAAAACAACCAAACAAAAAATCCCTTATTAGCACCGAGCTACCCTTCAATCTTTTTTTAAAAGCCAACAAAATGAACCGTAACAGAATGATCTGGAAAGCTGTGTCCAGTATCATGGTTACACATTACTAATGCTCTACTGTTGCAGGCATTTTTAAAAAACACGGTCCCATTTCAAGCTGGCTGCTGAACTTTAGCAGTACTGTATCTCCTACCACGCAATATCGTCATCATCCCATGCTGCTGTGCACTTCTTTGGAAGAAAAACATCAAAATATCAGTGAAAGTATGTGATTAGTTACTGGCACAGGGACAGAGGAACATTTTGAGTCTCTGGATACCGGCATGTCTTGCTTAAAAAAAAAAAAAGGGTATCCCATTATTTCTTAAAATACATTCTGTAATTTTTTTCTTCTTAATTGCTGCAAGAATTTTCTCATCTACATAATAATGACTAACAGTAAAGGAAGCCAAGTTGAAAATTTCACTCTTTTTATTGCTCTGTAACAGCCTCATACTGCTGTGCGGCTGTAATGTACACTTAATATTAAATTCTTATGCTACGACACTTTGCAGTCAGAAAGCCTTAATAAAACATGACTGGGACGCTTGGGTGTCCCATCGCACGAGAGCCTGCTGTATGCCTAGACTTCCATTTATGAATATAAGATATAGTTTCATCAGATCAAAATGTTAGTATTTCTACAGGGCTTGATTCTGCCCTTAAAAGTAACACATGTTCTAAG